CCTCAGGTCATGATCTTCTGGTTTCTGAGATTGAGCCCTGCATCAGGCTCTGTGCTGATAGTGAGCTGCCTTGGGATTCTGTCTTCCCTCTTTCCCCTCTTGTCTGCCCCTCTCCTGCTTGCTGTCTTTCTTTCAAATTAAATAAACAAACATTAAAAAAAAAAAAAAAAAAGATTGGAATTGACATGACCAGTACCAAAAAGAGAGCAGTCCTGGAATATTTGAAGATAATGGCTCACAGTTTTTTCCATAAATTAGCTGAGAAATAAATAAATATAAACTGTCAGTATCTTAAATTGGTAACATATGTCATTAGTCAAAGTAACAAAACCACTGATTAAAACTACCACAAGATTATTATTCACAAAATTTTAAAAGTTCTAAAATTTGACACAGTAAACTTGAATAACTGCAGAAGAAAACTAACAGCAGGAGAAACCATACTCAGAAAAGTATATTTTGGATTCTAAAAAATGATTAATAATGCACATTATCCTTTGAAAATATACAGAAAATAAATGGATCCTGTTTGGGATAATTTTAGTAAACATTGGAAAACCTGGATACTGTTTTGTTTTTTTGTTTTTAAGTTTTTATTTAAATTCTAGTTGGTTAACAGTGCGGTATTGGTTTCAGGAGAATTCAGTGATTCATCATGTGCATATATAACACCCGGTGCTCATCACAAGTGCCCTCCTAAATATCCGTCTTCTATTTAACCCATTCCCCACCAAAGTCCCCTCTAGCAACCCCCAGTTCTCTAGACTTAAGAGTCTGCTTATGGTTTGCCTCTTTCTTCTTCTTTCCCGTACGTTCATCTGTTTTGTTTCTTAAATTCCACACATTAGTGAAATTACATGGTGTTTGTCTTTCTCTGACTGACTTCCGCTTAGCAAAATAGACTGTAGCTCCCTGTTGCAAATGGTAAGATTTCATTCTTTTGATGGCTGAGTCGTATTCCACTGTGTGTATATACCACATCTTCTTTATCCATTCATCACTCATTGGGCGACATTTGGCTCTTTCTAAGATTTGGCTGTTGTTGATAGCGCTGCTGTAAGCATCGGGGTGCATGTGCCTCTGCAAATCAGTATTTTTGTATCCTTTAGGTAAATACTTAGTAGTGCAATTACTGGGTCTGTAGGATAGTTCTATTTTGAACTTTTTGAGGAACCTCCATACTATTTTCCAGAGCGGCTGCACCAGTTTGCATTCCCACCAGCAGTGTAAGAGGGGTCCCCTTTCTCCACATCCTCACCAGCATGTTGTTGCCTGTGTTGTTAAATGTAGCCATTGTGACAGGTGTGAGGTAGTAGCTCAGTGTGGTTTTGATTTGTATTTCCCTGATGATGAGTGATGCTGAGCATCTTTTTATGTGTATGTTGGCCATCTTTAGGTCCTCTTTGAGAAAATGGATACTGTTTAACTGAACTTTATAAAAAGAACACTAGTAAGGGAACTTAATTGGCTAAATATTTTCTATGCAAAAATTCATTGAACTTACAGAAAACTGGTCAAGGGATTAAGTTGGCTCAACAGTATTTGTTACAAAAATACTTGGCAAAAATTCCTCAGTAGAATTTTGAGTTAAGGATTATTTTTATATATATTTATAGTCAAGGTATTTTGCAATTCAAAAAATAAATGGGGCTTGGAGTCAGAATGGCCTTATTCCTCTTAGATAGCACAAAGTAAACATAAAATTACATGATCTTATTTAATCTCATGTATTTTTAAAGTACCATTTGTATTCGTACCGACAGATGTAAGTAAGTGGATAGGAAAGGCATGTAACAAATTAAGTGTGGACTTGAGAGCAGTCATACAAGGTGTTTAGAACTGAAATGGTTAAAAGACTTTCTGTGTTTTCTTGGATTTGTTTGAATTTTTAATAGCCCTCTAGGAAATTGGACCCACCTTCTAATATCCTATACATCAGCTCAAGTGCTAGAGTAAAAATTAGTTATAGAAGTAGTGTGATTTTTCTCTCTACCACTTTCTCCTTCAGAGTTGATCTCATAACTCCTTCATCTTTCTCAGTTTGAAATTGTTCCCGAAGATGACCCCCAGAATGCCATTGTCACCTCTTCTGCAGATGCCTGTCATGCAGAACTGCTCAAGACCATAAGTGTTACTATGTAAGTTGAAACTTGAAGATGGTCTAAATAGGTTGCTTGTGCTACACTGAGACTTTTCCTTGCTTTTACTGGAGAGCCCTTATAGAAAACTATCCTGCATCCTTTAGATTTCTTACCAGAAATCCTTTGGATTTCTCCACAGTATCCAAGTCGAGAAATTTTGTTCTCGGCATTCATCCCCACATTCCATTCCTAAAGCCATTCTCATCTCCCTCTAAACTTTTAAACTATCGTCCTCCCTCTCCTCTTTAGGGGGAAATTCATGCCCAGCCTGCTTCCAGCCGGAGCTGACTTTTTTGGGTTTTCTCACCCAACCATTCACAACCTGATTCAGAGTTGTCCAGGAGCTCGAAAATGCATCAAGTAAGTTACTGCTTTGCTCATTGTCATGCTGAGTTCTTCTGTGTTCAAAGCAGGCTTGCTCCTTAGCCGGTGTGCCTCTCTATTAGTCCTCCTAGCCCTCCGGATGAGAGGCAGAAGCCAGTACCCCCGCTGTACTAGAACTAGCATTTTCTGTGTGTGTCAGGACAGCAGAAGGGTTGGGAAATCCTGCAGAATAACATGTCACTAGAGCTGCCTATCTTCTCTTAGTGTTTTCGTTAACATGATTCTTAGGTACATACGGGAAAGATCTACGGAAAAAACATACCTGATCTCTGTGGAAGGAAGATTGGGTTATGGTGGCTAACGACAACTCTTGATAATGATGCCCTTTGCTCCTGCAGTTACCAGTGGGTGAAGTTTGATATATGGAAACCTGGAGACGGGCAGCCACCCCAAGGACTGGCAGAGGATAGTGCAAGTATAAGCTTTGAAGCCTTTCAGAGACAGGCCTTTGATGAAGATCATACTGATCCCATTCTGCAAGGTAGCCTAATTTTCCCTTCCTGATTTGAAAATTGTCTGTTTTTAGGCTGCTGTGTGCTCCTCATGGGTAGCGGAGTATATCAAGTAGCCGGGCAGGAAGTGTTAGAAACTTCGCTGCCCCGACCACTGAGGGCCCCAAGTGCGAGGGCGGGCCACCCTGCGGGGCTCTCCAGGAGCACTTGCAGGGGTCACGGGGTCGGCAGGGGGAGTGGGGGGAGGCCGCAGAGAAACCAGGCATTCTTGTTTTCCCACCGGAGACAGACCCAGGTGGCACTGCAGGGGAAGGTTTACTGCTCAGGATAAGAATTTCATGTTAAGTGAAGGGGAGCAACTGCTGCCTTGGTCCCACCTGTGCTGGGTGGGTTCCCTCCCACAAACCGGGGGGGGGGGAAGGGGGGACGGTCACGGGATCTGGCATTGGGTCATATAGGGAGAGCTCTGGACTTGAACTCATAGAATTAAAATTCTCATTTTTTTGGTCTATATACTATATAACCCTAGACAAATTACTTCATCCATTTTGGCCACAGTTTTCTCCATGGTAAAAGTAAATTTCTGCATGGAGGAGGGCACTTGTGGGGATGAGCACTGGGTGTTATATGGAAACCAACATGACAATAAACTATTTGTAAAAAAAAAAAAAAGTAAATTTCTGTCCTGTCTTACCAAGCAAGGGCAAAATTAGCTGACAGGAGCAAGCGTGTTAGGTACTGAAAGGACATTCAGGGGTCGGATCGGTCCCCTGAGATTCCTGGGCAGCAGTGGAACTGAAGGAATTTTCTTCCCCAGGATCCTTGGACCTTCCAGAGCTTCAGCCCACGGCCTTTGTGTCTTCTTACCAACCCGTGTTCCTGACGCACGAATCCCTGGTAGACACTCACCTGCAGCACCTGAAGTCTCTGTCACCGTGCAGCCCAACTCAGTCTTCTGATTGATCAGGAAAGGGGTCAGATACTACGTCATTTAACTTAAAGCAAAACTCAGAATATGGAGGAAGGCAGCAGTTCAGGAGCGAAGGAGAGACACGTTTTGTTATGGAGGTTCCTGTGGTGACGGTGTTCCCTGGAAAAAACTTCAGCTGCTTTATTTTTAGCAATAAATTTCTCTTTACAAATCTGCTTATTTTCATCTTGTTGTAATCAGGTGGTTTTTTTGTTTGTTTGTTTTGGCTTTTTTGCTTAGCTCTGCCCAAGGTGGTAGAGGAAACCTGTGTTCTGAAAGCCAGAATGAGAGCAGGCTGCAGACTCTGGAGGGAGCGGTGGGAGGAGTCCCAGCCTTCCGCCAGGATTCTGATCCTTGCTCCGGGAATGAGGGCCCAGCAGCTGCTGCTTTTCCGCGTGCGGGCGATCACAGTCCAGTCTGCTTCTCCCCAGGCCAGAGAGGCTGGCCCAGGGCATGCTGTTCACCTTTTTCTTCACACTTCACATCTTTCAAGGGAACCAAAAAGTCCTCTGTAACCTCTTCTCCTGGCTCTTTGCCATTCCTTACCCGAGAATGTGCTTGTAGCCGAATACCTTGAATCCACATGATGACACAGATACAACATGCCGGGGGCGGCGGGGGTGGGGGGGGTACAGGGGCGGCTCCCTCCTCCATAACAGCCTCACCCCTTCACTTCACTAGCTCTGTAATAACTTGACCCATGTATTTTGTGCGGAACCGAATGTGTTGGACCCTGCCCGTGGCACTGAGGTAGAGGTTGACCGCATCACCCCTTCTGGACCCCAGCAGTACCGCGTGGGAGGCCCTTGTCCGTCCAGCCAGGGACCGGGACAGCTGGAAGGCAACAGAAGGCCCCCAGGAGGAGGAGCACGGGGAAGGAGTGTCGGCTGTCACTGTGCTGCAGTTTGTAGCTGCTGACCAGGGACAACACGAAGGGCCTTCCTGTTTCTTAGGAACGGATGCACCAGCAGAGGGCGGGTCGGCAGCCGCGTCCAGAGGACACCACACGGGCCACGGGAGTATCAGAAACGAAAGTAACTGCTAATAATTGTTTGACTCTTAACTCTAGTCTTTTTATAAGTTTGTGCACCTTTTACAGTATAAAAAAAATAAAATTAGGATAACAGCAAACCAGAGGTACAAGGGGGGTTACTCAAAGCCGTTAGTGCTTCAATGTTTTTCTTTTCTCGTGGCATGCGTTGGCTGGACATATGGGCACTTCTGCAGAAAAGATGTGTACTGCTTTTCTCACGGAGTAAATGCCTTCCCCTTGTATTACAGTCCGAGTAAAACACATACAAGAGAGCCTCATCTGAAGAAAGATATTTAAGATTTCCTTTTAAGTAAGTTATTGTGCTGTTTGCTTTAATAAGAGCATTTGTAGCTTTCCTAGAAGAGTAATTTTCAAAGTATAGATCTCAACCCATCAGTTGTTCCTAAACTTAGGGAGTGAACCTGGTAAAGTTAAGTAAAACAATTATAACTTAATAGAATGCATCCCATGTCAAGAAGTTGAAATTTGGGTTTCAACTGTAGTATGTAGATATGTATTTATATGAAAATCACGTGTACACACATGAAAGGGGTACATGTAATAAATGTAAAATGTTTTGCTATGGATCATCATTTTTAAAAACTTGAGCCTCCTTCCATCCACCCCACCCCCCACCCCGGTATACTTAAAACATCTTTTCGTCTATTGGATTGTTAACAAGATTGAAATTTGACAGTGTCCAGCATCAGTGGGAGTGAGGGTAAATGGCACTGTACCTTGGTGGGAGTGTAAACTGTTGGACCCTTCAGGAGAGTTAAGCTGTAGGAATCAAACTTTTAAACCTGTTTAATCCTTAAAATTGTTACTTCACATTAAGAATCCTAAGGAAAGAAGTACAGTATGATGTTTGCATGTAACATTCATCACCGTATTCATTTTAACAGGGAAAACTTGGAAAAAAATTTCTAGGTCCACTAATGGAAAAATTGGTTAAATAAAGTATGGGTCTCCCACAAACTAAAACACTATATTCAATTTACATAGGAAAATTATTTTACTAGAATTAGTAAAAAACAGATTACAAAATAGTATGACACACAGTGTATAAAATATAACCCAAGCAAATCAAGTGAATGTTTACCAAACTATTAAATGTTTTTTGCCAAATGATGGATTGTGGGGTGATCTTTACGTGTTTATTTTTTGTTTGTGTCCAAATCTACAGTAGTTATAAATTTCGTTTTACATATACTAAAAAGTTATTTTCATTTGGGAAATTAACTGAGTTCCCACAGAATGTTTAAAATCATTCAGCCATTGAAAATAAAGTTTCACATGACTTTTCATTAGTATATCCACTCTCTAAACCTAACATCTGCACTGTGAGCACTAGGTTACTGGGGGAGAAAGGAGCCTGGTATGGGGTTCCGGACCATGTCCAGCTGTCCACAAGTTAGAACAGCCCATGAGGGAATGGGTGTTGGCACAGGGGAGGGGTGGACGGGAGATTTACTTCTCTGGAGCCTCTCTGTTCCTAGGTTCCTGGCTCCCCTTAGGCCAGATGCATGTGAGGTCAAAGTATGGGTGTTTGGATTTAATTGTATACTAGGATGTCCTCAGAGGAGCCAAAGTTCTTTGTATACTGCATAGTTGTGTTTTGGGTTTTTTTACTAAAATAAATCCTGGCACTGACAGCAATTCCTGCTGTTCAAAGCTACACCGGGACCCCTTGGGGTTAGGTGCTTATTACTTCAGTTCTTATTTTTCCCATTAAGGGAGTTGAAGCTACTCAAATAAATCTTACTCCTTCCTCATGCTTCAAAGGACAATTTACAAGCCTGTTCCCAACCCAGTTTTGGTGGGCTATAAACGTTTACATATCACTAATGATTATACTTTTTTCCAAATCGTAATAGAGGACACAATTGTCAAGTGCCATTAGCTAGTTTTAATCAACCAATAAGCACCATTATGTGTGTATGTGTTTTGTTTTTTTTCTCTTTGCATTAGGATTCTTAACCGTACTCACAGAAGTCTGCTTTCACATTTGTCCCATCTGGATTATTTTTCTAAACACTTATTGTGTAGCTTTATTTTCTGCCTCTTTTTTCTTCCATCTGGGTTATCCTTTTTATAGGTAAACCTCTTACCTTAAAAAGCCTGAAATTTATTTTTTTTATAGTTTATTTATTTTTGAGACAGAGACAGAGCATGAGTGGGGGAGGGACAGAGAGAGAGGGAGACACAAATCTGAAACAGGCTCCAGGCTCTTAGCTGCCCACACAGAACCTGATGAGGGGCTCGAACCCACAAACCACGAGATCATGACCTGAACCGAAGTCGGACGCTTAACCAACTTAACCGCTTAACCAGGTGCCCCTGAGATTTATATTTAACCTGTTTGCCTGTCAGTGACCTCTACTGTCATGTTTTCCTGAGCCTCTTTCTCCACCTGTTTCTGGCTGCGTGAGCCTCCCTGGGCCACCGCCGCCTCATCCTTTTCTCCTCATTCTTTAAAGCAGCCCCTTCACACCTCCCCAAATGCATGCGTGCAGTTCCGGTTAGTTTCAAACATTCATATTATCACTATTAGACTGAAGGAACAGAACTGGCTTTGGGTTACAAGAGAACACAAATAGGGCTAGAAAGAGTTCAGTTCCACATGAGAAAACACTGTTGGGACATTTAGAAACTTTACACAGAGTTTCAGTAACCACTTACCAGATTTTGTAAAGAATACACAAACACGAGCTGGCCCACATGGCCTTGAAATCCTTTCCAGCCATGAGTTTCCACGGGTCTGGATGTAAGCAGACAAAAGTGTTAGACACTGTGCTCTCCACAAGGGAAGTGAATGACGCTGAAGTCCCACTTGTAGCTGGTAATTAGTCCAGTAAGACACCTAGACTGGGGGACAAAAGGCAAGCAAGCATTTGCCCGCCAGCACTGGCTCATCTATCCAGAGTACGGACACAGCCGTGTGCCAGCCGGGAGCTGTCCGGTGCAGCCTTTCTGTTAGTTGTCTTTGAAATCTATAGCTAAACACCTAAATGGCCACATCTAAAGGACCCACACTTATGGCCAAGAGAATGATCACAGTGCCACTAAATCATTCAGCAAGCTTGTGGAGGTCTCCAGGAGTCGGGTTTGTCATGAAAGCAATGAAGGGAGGAGCCGGCAGGGCACTGCTGGGGTGGTACAGGGGGCACTGCTTATATTCACAAGGCCACGTGGTCCAGGCGTAGCGAACCGCGGTTGGAGTGCCACGACAAGAACTGACATCCAGGGCCAGGGTCTGGGCTGAGAAAGTGCCCATGGGAGCTGCGAGCCACTTGCACTGATGGCCACCGCAACACAAGATCTAATAAGAGAATCAGAAAATAGGAATGGTTAGGGCAGTTAGGATACTCCAAGAGACTACAAGGGAGAGAAGGAGCGGCTCTTGGCCAAGGATCCACTTCCTATAATAACCAGAGCAAATCTGAGTCCCGGTTGGTGTGATCATAAAGGTTTGTGTGATAAATCAATCCGGCTCTTGGCCAAGGATCCACTTCCTATAACAACCAGAGCAAATCTGAGTCCCGGTTGGTGTGATCATAAAGGTTTGTGTGATAAATCAATCTAAAAAAACCATTAACTAGCTGAGGGAGACAAGGAAACCTAACCACATAGAGCATTTAGAGAAGGCTCCCCTGAGCATCCTTGCCGTGAGCCTTCTGACGAGATGGCAAGGCAGGCAGGAACCGAGCGAGCGGGGCAGTCCAGCTGCGGCTACAACTCCGGCACTCCCAAAGGAGCCGGGGAACGAGGAAGGGGCACAAAGGGACCTTGGACAGACAGCGTTTCTCAAACCGGAAAGCAGTCCAAGGAAGGGGACATGAAGTATCCAGTACCCCAGGTTAAATTCTGTCCTGCTCCCCACTATGATTCTGGGTCCGGGTGCCAGGTGTTCTGCCAGGGGAGAACTGAAGTCAGAAAGCAGATGTCTGGGGAGCTAGACCGGCCTAAAATCCAGTGTCCAAGGCAGCTCAGTGGGGTGAGCGCTGCCCCAGCACCTGAGGCCAGCTGAGGATGTAGTTAGGACTCCAGAGGAGAAGCAAGGAGCAGCCCTAGATGAACTCGTGTAATTAAAGTCTGCCTTTAATATGCTTTCATTCCCTCCAGTGCCCTCTTTTCATACAGCAACCTCCTCCCCCACCCCCACCCCCACCTCACCTAATGGCCTCCTGGTTCCCAAAGAAGCTCATTTGCATGTTCCAATAAGAATGCCTCACCCCCACCCCCAACTAGGGAAGACTCCTCCAGGAGCTCTTGAATTATTAGCCCTAGTTCCTCAATGGAAGGATCCTCACTAGGTACTAGAAGAAAGTAGTTTCATTACATTAATTTACGCTGAGCTACAAATCCCCAAGCTAAGCCTCTCAAAGGAGAAACTAAACTCAAAAGACTGTCAGAATTTGCCACAGTGTGACATAAAAAGACATCCAAGATGAGGGGAATACTCTGGAATAAGGAATCTTCCATTAGGTAACCTACAAATAAAGCTGCAGGCTCTTGCCAGGGCAAAGATAGACGCTCTGGGAGCAAAAACAAAAAGGAATAGTTTAACGTGGATTCATTTTCCTTCCCTTGATTGTCTTGTCAAAACTGCCCCAAGTTAAAGAATTAATAGCTACTTAGTCACCCGCCTGAGACAGACTCAGCCCCACCAACCACCAAGATCTGCTTCATGGAAATGTTACAATGGAAGACATGGGCCTCAGTGTGGAGAAATTCTGACTCCCAAGCCAGGATAAAGCTTCGGCCCTTCTTCTCACCTCAAATATCTTGTCCTGCCTCTTCACCTGGATTTGCTGTGAGTACATGAGGTTGAGGAGCCCCCTGTCAGCCAAGAGCTCCATCTTCTCAGGCAGTGGTCCTTGAAAGATCAGCTTCTCACCATAAGCCACAGCCCGGGCCCCCAGGTGCAGCCTGTAGGCCACAGTCTGTTTATCTCGAGGGTGGATGCTACCGGATAAAGAACAGACAGAGAACTTTGGGTTTGCACAAACAAGAACCACATTTTAAAAAAGAGGGGAAAAAAAGGATTATACAAAGCACACTTTAGGAAGGTAAGAATAAAGAAACTTGACTTAATCTAATAGGTCAGTGGCTAGTCAGCTTAAGAGACCTAGTGAATGGTAGCCATAAATGGGGCTCTGGGCCTCCTATGGGTTAGAAACCTTGAAATAGCAGAGGACTTGGAAGGAAGGAAGACAGGTCCCTGAGGGAGGAAAGGCACTGGAACTAGCCTAGGAGGGCTAACTCAACATTATTCCAACCACTGACCGTCCTGTGTTTCATCTAAATCAGTTGTTTACATGTTCAACGAATAAAACCCTCTAGGTTTAGATAGGACAATAAAAAAAAAATCCACTTGTTCAAAAATAAATATGTGTTCAGGTTCCCACTATAAACCAGACACTGTGTTGGGTCCCATTTCACATTTCAAATCCCCTTGTATTCCACAGCTAGCGCATGGTAGTCTTGGAGCCATTCACAGATATCCTCCTCTGAGTTCACGGAAGAATTCCACGTCCCGCTCTCACTGAAGCCGGGCGAGGCCATAGTACCTGCTCGGAGCCAACGCAATGTGAGCACAAGTAACGCATGTTACTTTTATCGCCAGTGTCAGACTTTAAGGTGACCGGGAGCCCAGATCAACTTGGAACCTCCATCACTTTAGATCTGTGAATGACTATAATGAGCAAAGCCTCTCTGTTGACTTCCTTTGGACATGTACTGTGAACAGGAAGTAAAATGTCACATCAAGGCACTGAGATGTTGAGGGTTTTCGTGGCTGCAGCACATCCCCAGTGTAAATGATTAATAGATAAAGCTCCGAAGGTCCAATCCTTAGAGCACCCACTCTCTGGCCCTCACAAGTGAACATTAGAGCGAAGCCACAGACAAAGAGCGTGTATTATTGTTCAAGCAAAGCCCAGAAGCACCCGTACCTGCCGTAAGGGGACGTCCTATCACAGAGATCCATTGCTACTGCCATGAAAGTGTTGGGCATCCTCAGGTTGGGGACATAGCCAAAGTCTGCTGTTTGATGCCAACGAATCTGGGGAAATTTATCATCTGAGGCTGCAGACAAATATGAAGATAACTGGAAAGTAGAGAATGTTGCATCAGAATTTTACTGCATCAGAATCCTACACCAGGGTCTTTTTTCATAAGCAGACTCTGCTTCTGCTTCATTCATTTGTTCAAATGTCCATTCAACAAGTTTTTACTGAGTGTCTTACTGTTGTGGCTCAACTCCCCTCACCCCACGCAGTGTATTTCTCCTCCTACGGAACCTGGGCTAAGCCCATCATTTTCTCTGACCAACAGGACACAGGAGAAGTGATGTGCAGCTTCTGAGTCATTGCCTCAAGTGCCTTTGCCTTCTGGTTTCACTCTCTTGGAACCTGGAGATGGCCATGTAAAAAAAGTCCCAGCTAACCTGCTGGAGAAACTACATGGGGGGCGATGGAGCCTTGGAAACTGGAAGACCCTTAGGAGAGAGGGGTTAGTGCCCCAGCAGTCCCAGCCGAAAAGCCAGTAATGTGAATGCTAGAGGCTCCAGTTCAAATTGAAGCCACCATGAGCAAGACTGGCTGGCATCCCACGGAGCAGAGATGAACCATCCCAGGTGAGCTCTGCCTTGGGCGACTCATGGAGTCAGGAGCAAATACAATGGCTGATGTTTTAAAGCCACTAAGTTTGGGGGAAGTTTGCTACAAAGCAACAGGTAACTGATACATCTATATATACCATGGTCAGGTGCTGTAGGGAAGCAGAGAGGAATCTGCCCGAGAACATGTGGTAAATTGCATCTAAGATCCCAATTCTTCACATTTTCCTATATCCACAGCCTCTTTCCATATATATATATATGGCTTATATATGTGGCTTTGTGGTTTCTCCCACTAAGAAAAAAAGTGTAGGGACACAAGTTAAGCATCCGACTCTTGATTTCGGCTCAGGTCATGGTCTCTCGATTTGTGGGATGGAGCCCTGCTGACAGCGAAGTCTGCTCAGTATTCTCTCTCTCTCTCTCTCTCCACCTCTCCCTGCGTCTCCCCTGCTCACACTGTCTTTCTCAAAATAAACAATTTTTTAAAATACTTTAAAGAAAAGTTAATAAACGATAGTATAAAATAGAATGGATTAAATGCTATATTGGAGCCACAGACAGCAAGTACTCTGC